GATCAAATAATAATTATTGCTTTTTCGTTAAAGTAGGTCAAAGGACAACTGCGTTACTATGACGCAGTACCCCTGTCCTTGGTTCGAACTTTGGCCACTCTACTCTCATTGAACTTTCGATCTTTGTGCCCTGGGGTATAAAAGCACTTCTCCCCATCGCCGGGATCGCCACTACCCATTCATTACTGCGACCTATTTTTATTTAACTCCTACTCCTATTCTGGGGAGCTTCGACTCCCCAGAGCCTCACCACTTTTGTATGCATTATCTCTTTAACTTACTATGTATTAATAAATATGTATATAGGACGCGACGTCGTACACACACACACACATACTCACTCCTACAACCGGTCCACACACTAGCCTAATAAGCTAACAGTTAGGGTCACGATACCCTTCTGCTCTGTTTCTCGCTGCCCTTCTCCTCACAGGGGTGTGTGTGGGGCGCTTCGGAGAAAATACATTGTAAATGGAAGAGTAGAAGAATTTCACTTGAATGTTATGTGTTTGAAGACATTTTATGACGCAGTCTGTGTTTCATCCCCAAGCCGTATACACAGACCGAACAGTGCATGCGGGTTGGAATGGGAGTCATCAGTACAGCCTCCTACCCGCCATGTAAACTTTTCGCGTTAGTATTTCATTTCTCATTTTGTCTGTGAATAATGTGCATCAGGAGAAGTTCAGGTGGATGCGGAGTGGTAGCAGTTGTCTGCTCAGATGCAGTGCTCGCTGTGTGCTGTACCTCAGAGGCAAACGCCAATTGCATGCCGCGATGCGAAGAAATGCTCTGCGCAGGCGGCCGTTACTTCTGAGCTGGCAACGCAGTACAGCCGGAGGTTGATTTCTTTTTTTTATAGATATAATCCGTATTTAAGCATCCAAAAGCCAAAACCTCTTATTCAGATTTATGCATATTTATTTTGCATTACCCCTTATGCACATATTAGCACCACAACAGTTTGTGCTGATGAAGTATCGGAAAATATAGCATTGCTGTTGGCAAGGTACAGCGACAAGAGAAAAGAGGAATGGCACAGTCGACTATGTTTATTTGATATTCTGCGAAGAAGCCAAATTATACAACCTCATTTAAGCTAGCTGGTATTTGCATTGGTGACGCCTGTGTTTCATCCCTGAACTGTAAACACAGACGACTAAAATGGTTCGAAACGGGGTGGGAATCATCAGTACAGTGCCCCATTTCGCTATGTAATTGGGAACATATTGGGTAATTTAGAAGAAAAGAAGAGAATGATGGTTCTCTCGTATTCTAGTCCATTTTGCATCGAAAACTTCAAGTATTGGGGGAAGGACCAATTTGACCATCTGCGCAAGTCACATGAATTCGATAGTATTAAACACCTAATTTAGTACATTATTCTCTTGAAAGTTGCTTCCTCATAACTACATAGAATTACTACCCGTATCACATGTTAGTTTCCTCCCCTTCGATTTGCTCCATCACTCTTATTACTTTCACGCTACTGCACTTTCTCTCCTTCTCTCTCTTTCTTCTTTCACTTATCCTTTTTGCAAATTAGTTACATGTCCTTTCAATACATGGCGCGTAGGAGGCTGTACTGACGATTCCCACTCCTAGCTGCATGCACTGTCCAGTCTGTGTTTACAGCTAAGGGATGAAAAACAGAGACAGCATCGTAAAATATCACCTTACTA